CTTCAAGGTGGCCCTGTCCTAGGATAAGGGAGAAACCTAGGTGTACCAGGCAATATACAAATCACACACAGGGACTCCTCTGACTCAGAGACCTGGAGTCTCCTAAGAGTGCGCCAACTCTCCAACCCGATAAACAGAAATCATGCATAGGCGACCTCTATCTGCTGAAAGAGAAACTGCAGTTGCTCATTCTTTCCATGCAAAGGAACACCCAACATAGTTGTGTGTACTCACACTTAATCTCTCTTAGCTTTCAAACGTGGCATCACTGTAACCCCCCTCCCCATAGCTCAGCAAAAGGAGGCTTCAGAGAAGTGAATCAATTTTGAAGTCTTGCAGGGAAAGAAGCGTCTTTGAGAATCAACCTATGTCTGTGTGAGGCCCAAGTCTGCTCCATCTACCAGGCTTTCTGTTGCTCAGTATTGTCAAGAGCAGAAGCATTGCCTCATGGGAGTGTTAGACAATGGCCCCCACCTCAGACCTACTGATCAGAACAATAGCCTCGAGATCCCAGGTGGCTTTTTCCTTATGTCTTGCTTGCATATTAGAGTGCAAGAAACAGCCCAGTCCAAGAGGCTGTGGGGTACTCAGTGTGCAGCTTCCAGAGACAAAACAGAAAGAAATGTGGCCTACTTTTTCTTTTCCTTCCTTCCTCTTCCGTCATGTCTTGCAAGGGCTCTGTGGATATACCACATCACCCAGCCCTCAAGCACTGTCTCAATGACTCAGCTTTGCCCGGCAAATGAGGTCAGTGACTACGTTCCCTTTAGATAAACAGGTCTGGGGAGGTAAAGTTCTTTCCAAGGCCCCTAGCCAGCATTTGATGCAGATTGGCTGGGGGAGGACCTGGGGGTTTCTGAGGTCTGATGTCCGCACCTGAATGCGGGCTGTGAGTCCCTGGCTTGCCCTGTGGGGGTCAGAGGTTATCTGGCTGGCTGAGAGAGCTCTCTGGTTCCTTGTTGACTTATGCATGATAAGGATGCTGTCTGGCTCCTTTGATGAGACCCATGCAACCCCAGCTAACTAACTTCCCTTGCCGAGCCTTGGCTCCTTCAGAGCTGTGCACACAGATGCGGTTGATGGAATAAAGCATTGGCAAAATGTGAGCGTCCACAGATGCTGAGCACCTGGCTCCCGTGGGTCAAGCACCAGGCTGATGCCTGCTCCATGAGAAGACACGGTTCTGCTGCCATGAAGCTTACGGTCACGGGGAGGCATGGCACATTAAGATGGGGACAGCTCCAGTTTGAGGTGTGGGTGGGCGAGTTGGGCTAGTAGGCGTGGGCGTTCTATTTCTACCCTCTGTTCCTGGGAGAAAATGAAACTCATTCCCTAGTGCCTGTCCCTCCACCCCACCCCAGGCAAAGGCTATTCTGCTTCCCTGGCCTATCTGAAGTGCTCTTTGGGTTTTGAGTTTTCTCCTTCATTTGAATATTTCTGGAGCAGCACAGGGAGTAGCATCAGGTATGTACGGTGTCTAGACCAGTCCTAAGGGGAGCCTGAGATGCACCCAGAGTGTTCACGTTTCACCTTGGCTGCCCGCCCCCACCCAGGCAACATGCACCTACACTGGCTATTGCTTAGGTCTTTAAGCTGTATTTCTCCTGCTTTGGGACATCCACATACATAGTGCTCACTGCTTGAAAAGTTCTCCCCACCTCTTGCTACTTAGCTAATTCCTACCCAAACCAAACATCACCTCCTCCAGCAAGCACTCTGAGACTCCTTGCATAGGTCCTAAGGCCACTGCTGTAATTTGGAGCCAGAATGATTTCCAAAAGCACTTTGATTAAATATTTCATTTCATCTCCATCCTATGGTGGTAAAGACAGAACCTTTAAGACATGAAATAGAAGAAAGTTTGGTCATAGGGGTATGCCCTTGACAGGTATAACAGAACTCCAGACATTTGTTTTTGTTTTCAGGCAGGGTTACTCTATGTTCTAAGACTGGAGAGCTTCCTGCCCCAGGCATCTGAATGCTAGTATTACTCGTGTACCACAACTGTCTTCCGGTCTTTTTATTTTCTTGTTGGCCAGTATGCTGTCTCCTTAGCCATGTGCACCTTCCATGACATATTTTGCCATGCTAGACTCAAAGCACCAAGGCCAAGAGGTCAAGCACCAAATCCTATGAAACCATGAGCCAAGAAAAAAAAACCTTATTTTTTTAAAATTTTTTGGTTTTCCAAGACAGGGTTTCTCTGTGTAGTCTTGATTGTTCTGGACTCACTTTGTAGACCAGGTTGGCTATGAACTCACAGAGCTCCACCTGCCTCTGCCTCCCTGAGTGCTGGGATTACAGGTGTACACCACTGTGCCCGGCTAAACCCTTCCTCAGTTCTAAGTGGACAATCTTGGACATTTTGTTCCAGTGACAGCAAGTTTATACTGCCCAATCCAGACACTCCGTCTTCCCTCTTTGGGACTTACGACAACACTCAACAAGATTTGTGTGACTGCGTGGCACTCATCTGTCTGCCCAGCTACCCTGGGACAAGGCTGAAGTCTGTTTTGCCATCTTCTTGACATGCTGAGGGCAGTGCCTGACTCTGTTTCCCAGCCAAGCAGAGCCTGTCCTGCCTCTTATAGGCCAGTGGATGCTGAGGAGTTTGGTGGTCACCCCAAGATTATGGTCGGGGAGGGCCGTGCATCAGAGGGGCTGGCTGCAGACATGAAGATGCAGAGGACAGAGGAGAGCTTGAGGACAGAGGCAGTGTCCAGAAAAGACCCTCTCCAGTCAGATGGGAAAGATTCAGGGGAAGAAGCAGAAAAGGGAGGTATCCAGAGCCTCCTGCAGACTCTTGCTTGGCAAGAGAGCCCCATGGTGCTGTTCCTTGTAAAAGGAACTTTTATTTGCCCGGTTCAATTGTTGTCTCGGAGGTTTACTGCCTTGTTCTCCTAATCTAGTCTAGTCCTGGAAGCTTCTGGCCTCCATACAATCTAACCTATGCCTAAAATGGTTTTCTGCTTCTGAGACTTACTGCTTAATGGGCTCTTTCTTGTTCTTTCTGAGCTCTGGGCTGGCTGGTTCAACTCAGACTACTCTCCCAGCTGACTTATTCAATCTGGCTTTTCTCCTGGCCTCTGAATTGCTCTGCTTGGTCTCAAACTAACTCCAGCAATTTGCTCTAATCTCCTGGCTCCTTCTCATTGTCTGGATCATTTGGTCCTCACCTGAGTTCTCTCTCTGCAACCTTCCTCTCTATTACTGTTCTGGCATAACTCCTCTGTATTGCCCTTTAAGTAGATTCCCTTTCCTCTCTCTCTTGAGAGTTGGGCATATTCTATTCTGTCAAATCTTTCTCTGATTCGTCACTGTTTCTGTCACTTAACTAGACATCACTTTCAAACATGGTGCCTCCTTCTACAAACTATCTTTCCCTTCATTATTTGGGATTAAAGGCGTGTACCACCATTTCTGGATCTAAGGTTTTTTGTTTGTTTTTTACCTGAAACTCATTCTATAGCAGGCTGGCCTTGAACTTAGATCTAGTTGCCTCTGTCTCCTGGGATAAAGGCCTGTTTGCTTTCCAGCTGGATCACACAGACCTAGAAAGTTTTTGGATGTAATCTCTTATCACTTTTTTGTCTTTTTTTTTTTTTTTTTAAAGACAGGGTTTCTTGTCCTGGAACTCTGTAGACCAGGCTGGCCTTGAACTCACAGAGCCTGCCTCAGCTTCCTGAGTGCTGGCATTCCAGGTGTGTGACATTATTGCCTGGCTTGGATCTCTTGCCAGAGCAGCCATGTTATGAATTAAAACTCCTCTACAGTGCCTTGTTTTGGATAGTTAAGTGTCATCTCCATGTCCCACCCTGGGCTCCTTTCCTGCTGTCTATGGGCCTAGACTCTGTCCCAAGCACAAGATAAAGGAGATGCAGGTTAGCAGTGTAAGTCTCTTTATTAACCATCCTCACTTCTTCAAGTGTGCTTGAGTAGAAAAGAGGCAACAAAAAACTGGGTAGGAAGCGAGGGAGACGGAGGGGAGGGGGTCCTGAGGTCAAGCCGAAGCTGGGTGCTCGCTAACTGTCCCAGCGTTTTCTGGACACCCATGAAAGGCAGCACTTGGAGGCTGAGGGAAACCAGCAGAATGGGACCAGAGAGAATGGATAACAGGGATGGATGGAGAAAGAGCAATCCAGCAAGTCTGGATGCTGAGCCTCTGCCTCTTCAACTGGACTGACCTGAGTTGGGGGTCTGCTGGGGAGGGACCCTCTCACTTCTAGAATAGGTGTTTTAGGTAGAAAAGACGAAGAAAATGATGTGGAGAAAGACCAGTTCTGGACCTCGGACTTACAAAAGTGAACAGGGGTAGGTGAGAGGCTAGGGTGGTCAAAGTAGAAGTGACCAGCCTGACATCCCCTGGGTTGGATATGTATGACTCAGTGGAATTCCCAGGCGCTGAGGCCAGGTCTCACAGCTGTGTGGAGCTGGGCAAGCTGACGTGACTGACAGGGTCTGGTGCCATCCCCTCCCCTGCCAAATAACAAAACCCATCCACGAAAGAAAGAAAAGACGTAGGGTAGGGGGTGAGGGATGGGTGGAAATGGAGAGAACAGCCAAGATGGACACAGAGAGGGCAATGTCCAGGGTCCCCAGCCTAACTTCCTTCTGAACCCTCGGGCTAGGTTTAGCTGGGGAAGAGAGAAGACAGGCTTGGAGGAGTAAAGAAATGGTGCTGGAGCTTCACTCGAACTTGGGCAGCCCAGCCTGGAAGGAAGGTATAAAAGGTCCCAGGCCTCTTTCATGACCCACCCTGAACATCTGAGAAGACAGGCTTATCTGGAATCTGAAAAAGACAAACACACCCTCTACCCATGCAGAAAGCTAACGGAGGAGTGCTCACAGCACCGTGGCATGGCAGGCCCTAGCTCCGGAGCCAGGCCGGCACCATTTGTAAACATTAGATTTGGGGATGTCTGGGGACACTGGGAAAGGATACCCAACCTGGACCAATAGGTTTGGACAAAGACTTGGGAAGTTAACAGACTCACAGGGTACCCAGAGAGGAATGGACATTTATATGATGTCAGTGTCTCCTTTGGAAGTGCCCAAGTCCCAGGAAAAGCCATCATTGGCTTCTGAGAGACATGGGCAGGCACAAAACCCCGAGGTGCTGGGCACAGCCCTGACATGCTCTGAGGGTGCCAGCCCTGGGCATACGTATTTTTGTTCTTTTCCCAGAGAGAAGTGAAATGGGCTCTCTCTTCTAAGACTCACTGACCCTCTCCACTCACAGGTCCCAAAGGCTTGAAACTGAGAGCTGGGTGAAGGGGGACACGCCTGTGATGTGGGACCTCCTGCCACCATCTGAGACAATGCCAGAGTTGGAGAGCAGGAAGGCAGCTGGGCAGGAGATATCCGCAGACTTGCGGCCGATTGTCTCATTCATGACAATCCCCAGAAAAAGGTGTCCAGATGTCATCTTGCCAGTTGGAACAGGGCGTAGGGCTTGGGGTAGCTCCACAGATGCAAGGGATGGCTCTTGGTCATGTGTTTTCAGGGAGGCAGTGTTCATGCCAACAGGTCCACAAAGATGGCATTGGCTGTGGTCTGGCCGAAGATAAAGGCTCCCAGGGTGACCAGAAGGACTCCATAACTGACCAGTGCCCACCAACTGTCAGGCAGATGACAAGAGAAGGTTTCAGTGATTTTTTCATGTCCCGGAAGACTCGTTTCTCTGACAGGCAATATAACCAGTCTCCCCACTTCTGTAGGCTTCCCAAGCACTTTCCCATACAAAGCTAGGTATGTGACACTAGTTCACAGTTAAGGAGACCAAGACCTATGACCACAGCACACTGCAAGTCTCCTTGGGAAGCTGCTCAGAGAAAAGCAGGTCACAGGGAATGAGATCTGTTTCACATCAAAAGAAACAGAAGGCAGGTAGCTGGAGAGATAGTTCTGTGGTTAAGGTGACGGGAGCCATATCAGGCGGCTCACAGCCATCTGCAACTCTGGCTCTAGGGGAATTGGACATCTGGCCACTGTGTGTATACACACATACATACGGAGAAATAGAGGAAGGAAGGATTCAAAATAATAAAAATAAATAGAAAAGAAACAACCGTGTGTTAAAAAAACAAAACAAAACAAAACAAAAACAACAAAACTGCCAGGGAGTTATCATTGGCGTTGAGATGAAGGGTAATTTTTATTTTCTTAAGATATGCCTGTTTTTGTTTTTTTTTTTTTTTGATATGTCTGTTTTTAAGTTTTATAATAGATAACTTTTTGTTGTTTTGTGTTTTTAGGCAAGGTCTCACTGTATAATCTTGGCTGGCCTAGAACTCATTACCTTCCTGTCTTCAGCCTCCCAAGTAGTGAAATACAATATTGTCATGAAATAAAATAATTTTCTCTCCCTTTCCTTTTTCCTTCCTCTCCCTACTCTCTCCTTCCTCTCCCGTCTCCCCATCTCTCTCCCCTTTCTGTCACGGTAGGGATTGAACGCAGGGCCTTGCACACTGTAGGCAAGCGCTATACCACTGAACTACATTCCCAGCCCTGGGATAATTCTTTTTAAAGCATGAAACCTTCTTCTTTAACTATTATTCAGGGAAACATACATATATGGAACTGATGTGGTTTTCTTTCACCAGATGACTTTTGGTGGTGTTAAGTGTTTGAATCACACTAAGTCCAGGCTGGCTTTAAACTCATGGCAATCTTCCTATCTCAAACAACAAAAATCACACACAAACCCCTGAGGGTTTACACTGCATAGCTCTTTGTACTCAGACACATACATGTCCAGAATCAGTTTAGGTTACAGCTCAGAGGGACCACAGAGAGGGGTAAGGTGGGGAGTGGGCTGTGAGAAAAGACACTCACTCTGCCTTTTTTGCTTAAGACGAGGTTTAACTTTATAGCCCAGGCTATCTTGAACTCATGTAGCCCAGGCTGGCTTTGTACTCTGGAAATATTCTTGTCCCACATTTCTAGGTACTGGGATTAGGGGTATGCCAATTAGGGGCATGGGATTACAACTTTTTTTCTAAAGCCTTTCAGTAGTGCTATAATTATCTCAGGTTCCCCATTGCAAAAAGATACATTAAAACCCCCAAATTTGGGTAGTTGATAGTAGGGAATTGAACCCAGGGCTTCACACATGACAAGCACATGGTTTGCTAATAAGTTAAATGTCTAAGCACCAAGAACTTTTTGTATATGTGTGTGTGTGTGTGTGTGTGTGTATGTTAAGTGTATGTGCACATGTACAGGTGTGTGTGTAGAGGCCAGAAGACATCAGATCCCTTGGAGCTGGAGCTACAGGCATTTGTGGGATGCCTGGGGTTTGTTACACGGTTGCTGGAACCTGAATTCTCTGGTCTTTTAAGATTGAACAGCAAGAATTCTTAAGCCCCCAGTTCCCTTCCTCTTTCCTGAGAGGGGTGGTGGTAGTGTCTTACTATGTAGCTCTGGCTGGCTTGGTTCTCATTCCCAGTCAACTTGACTGGATTTGGACTCTCCTAGGGTTTGTCTATAGGGGCGTTTCCAGGGAGGTTTAACTAAGGGAGACCCACCCTGACCAGGGGCCATATATTCCAGGGGCTGAGGTCCCAGACTGAATAAGAGAAAAGGGAGAAGGCCAGCCAAGCACCACTCTCATCAACTTGCTTCCTGACTATGGGTGTGACCAAAGCCCTCACACACCATGACGGACCATGCCCCCAAACCGTGAGCTGAAAACTCTTCTTTTAAATTGCTTTTTTTTTTTTTTTTTTTTTCCTTTTCTTTTCTGGCTTTTTTGAGACAGGTTTTTGTCTGTGTAGCTTTGGCTGTTCGGGACTCACTTTGCAGACCAGGCTGGCCTGGAGCTCACATTGATCCGCCTGCCTCTGCCCGCCCCCTCCACCCCGCCCCAAGTGCTGGGATTACTAGGATGGGATTACACCATCCACATACCATGCCCAGCTTAAATTGCCTCTTGTGAAAAAGGAACTGGCACAGCATTGGGGCCTCCAAACCTTAGCAACCTTACCTTAGCCTCCAAGTGTGGAAGTTGCCCTGTGTGCCACTGTCTGGAAAGCCTTGCAGTCTTAAGCGTCCAGGTCTCTTGACCCCCTGCCTATTTTAAGGTCCCCGCCCCACGTCCCTGAAAGGCTGCTGGGCTGGCTCTGCTTTTTACCTGGCAGGTTTGACCTCCTCCATCTCTGACAGTTTGGCTTGAATGAGGCACAGCCCTACAAGCAAAGAGGGAACCCTGAGTTTGGAGGAGGCAGAGGTTCGTTCCCTCCCTCCCTCATCAGCTTCCCCCCCACCCCACCAAGAGGCAGTGGTGGAGATGGAGAAGGGTCTGTTTACTATTGATTCTGAAATCCATGTCCTTCACCACCACCCACACTGAGCTGGACACCAGCTTCTGCTCTCCCAAGACAGGCCAGCAGCTAACAAGCACCCCCTGGGCTCCATTTAGGTCTCTTGAGCTGAGGGGACACACTGAACAGTGACTCAGTGGTGGCTCACACCATCTTGCCTACTCCAGAGCAGGCATGGCTCCCTTGCTCCATGTCCAGTGGGAAGGGCTCTGAGGAGGAACCCCTTGTCAGAAACAAGCTGGGTACAGTGGAACACAGAGCCAGGCAGACAGCACGGACTTCTGGCGATCCACAGGTGACCTATGTATGTCCTAGAACTCGGGTCTCATGATTTCAGTGCCAAAGTGCCCCCCTGGGCTTCTTTCCCTCTGGACAGAAATAAGCCAGCCAGATTTCGAGGGTCAAGGTTGCACATACTTGAATGAAAGGTGAGAGTAGAAACCCTGGATCTGGGCCCATTGGGCTTCAAACTGGCTGTCAATAGCTGCATAGTTGAGCTTGCTAGCCTCTGGGCAAGTGTGAATTCTCTAGCCCAGTGGTCCTCAACCTTCCTAATGTTGTGACCCTTTTACAGTTCTTAAAGCCATAAAATTATTCTCATTGCTCCTTCATAACTGCAATTTTGCTACTGTTATGAATCGCAGGGTAAATATCTGATCTGCAGGGTATCTGACAGGCAGCCTCTGTGAAAGGGCGGCCCAACCCCCAGGGTTGAGAACGGCTGCTCTAGCCTTACATCTCTTCAGTAAAACAGAGACCATAACCTTCTCTGCAGGAGTTGATGCTGACATGGCCACGAGTAGCTGAGCCATGTCGGTGAGCAACAGAGACTGGCCATCACGTTACTCTTGCCAGCAGGTTCTGAGAAGGGAGGTCCTGCTGTAGGGTGGAGGTGGGGTGACTGGGGTGTGCACCTGGGAAGATGAAGATGAAGCAGGCTGCCAGGCCTCCAATGACCGAGATGACCTTGCCGATGTCGGGGATAAAGAGGGCGAGCAGCAGGGTGAGCAGGAACCACGCCAGCGTCTGCAGGACTCGGCGCTGCCGCTCCCGCCCCACGTCCTCCTCCACTGGCACCCCCTTGTAGCGCAGCCACAGGCCTTCCACCACAGCCCTGCTCACATGAGGAGGGGGCTCAGGATGCTTTGGCTAGCGCATGGGGGCGAGATCCTGAATGGGCAGAGCGTGGCCCCTGAGCCTGGGTCCTTATCTGTGACCAGCACTGTCCTTGGTTGCTATGGGCTGCAGTAAGTGTATGTGGACGTGGGTGCCATTATTCCCTTTATAAAAGGAATCGTTTGGGGTCTCCAAAAGCCTGGCTGGGTCTATATAAGAGCTCAGAGAAGGATTTGGACCAGAGACCCATACAGGGCCCACAGCATGTCTGGAACCAATAGACCTGGCATGGAGCATGGGGGAGGGCATTCTGGACACAGATTCTTTTCTGTGGGCTCCAGTTTTCCTTGCCACAGAACAGGCTCTACATGATGCAGTGTATCGTGCTGGCCCCCCCGGGCTCTGGACAGGGTGGGGAAGGGGCTCACCGCCCACAGAAGTGCAAGATCGGGTAGGAGGTGAGGACGCTCAGGATGATGAAGGCTCGGGCAACGGCCACAGCCACGTCCTCTGAGGGGTAGGACCGGAGCACATCAGGATCCACCGTAGCTCCGAAAGTCAGGAAGCCACAGATGCCTATGGACAAGGACAAGGGGGCGAGGTCAGGGCAATCCTGGGTAGGGGGGGTAAAGGGTGTATTGTCTACTCCTGCTAAAAGCAACACCATTCAAAAAGGGTACAGTGGCGTACGCCTGTGATCCCAGCACTCAGGGAGGCAGAGGCAGGCGAATCTCTGTGAGGTGGAGGGCAGCCTGGTCTAAAAAGAGAGTTGAGGCCAGTCAAGGCTGCACAGAGAAACCCTGTCTTGAAAAACCAAACAAGAAAAACAAAGAAAGAACAAATGAACACTGCGGCAGCTTGGGAGGTGAGGACTGAGCCTCAGAAATGGAGTCAAGCAAGGGTAACTGCCCCACTTTCTGCCCCCTCGAATGCACCTTGCTGGGGCCCACCAGCCCACACACTGCTGCTTTTCTGCACTTGTCTCCTAACTTCTTCTTCTTCTCTATGTAGCCTTGGCTGTCCTGGACTTGCTTTGAAGACCAGGCTGGCCTTGAACTCACATCCTCCTGCCTCTGCCTCCCCTAGTGCTGGGATTAAAGGTGTGTGCCACCATGCTCTGCGACTCTTAACTTTTATACTAACCATTCCATCTGCTCAAACCATCATGCTGCCTGACACCTCATCACGCAGGTCTCAGTTAAAGATGTCCCGTCCTTGGAGAAAGCTGACTGCCCATCCAGTCATCTCCACCCTGGATACTCGTTTACCATCCTGGTCTATTCCCCAGTCACCCTCTCTATAAACACCAGTGAGAACATGGGACCCACAACAAAAGGTACTTGGCCTGTTTGCTTCTTGTGCTTCTTGCTGTTGCTTCAGAGGCTGAAGCAGCTCCTGTCCTCATCTCCTACCACAGGAGGGTGCTAACTCCCAGTTCATCTCTGACTTCTTATCCAAATTACCCCTTGCAGCAGCCAGGAACTTCTTTGCCTGGTTATTTCCCACCGAAGGAATGCATCCTCAGCTCCTGGGCAGCATCCATGCCTTTCCCCTTGGCTGCCCAGCCTTATAGGTACCAACGTCTTACACCCCAGCGATTTCCCAGACGCTCTGCATTTGCAGCTTCTCTCTGGAGTGCTCCTCCTCACCCAGCATTTCATAGTCCCAGTCTGGCTTTCCTTCACAGGCCTATCCAGGTACCACGTCCTCAGAGAGGAGGCTTCTGTGAATGCCACCCCATGTTCAGTCCCTTTCCCCACTGCCTAGTTTCAGTGTCATGATAACTTCAGCCGCTGCTTGGAATTCCTTTTTCATTATTACTTATACATGACTATTTCCCCACGACTGTCAATCCCACCAGGGCTACGGGCAGTTCCACATGTCCCTGAGGCAACCCCACAATGGGGACACCTTTTTCTTTTTGTTTTGTTTTTCGAGACAGGTTTTCTCTATGTAGCCTTCACTGTCCCGGACTCACTTTGTAGACCAGGCTGGCCTCGAACTCACAGGGATCCACCTGCCCCTGCTTCCCCGAGTGCAGGGATTACAGGCGTGCGCAACCATGCCCGGCTATGGAACGAGTTCTGATAGTCACTCAGCATCAGTTTAGGACCAAAGAGCCACATTTGATGAGGGGCAGCCTTGGGTAGCCCAGTTCAAATCAATGCCTACAGAAGTGTTCACTGGGCTAAGAACGCAGAGCTTGCCTAGGAAAGCTGAACCAGAAACCTTGGAGAGCAGAGGGCGTGGGAGCACTCCAAGTCTGGCTTCTGGAGGGGAACACTCACCTGTGCCCATGTAGACAGCCAGAGCTATGACCATGGCAGCTGTTACCACTCCACCCCAGGTCTTTACTTCGGGCTGCCGCATGCTGTTGAAGACAGGTACGCTGCTCACGTGGCACTGTCCAGGTGAAGGGTATGGTCACAGTGGGGAAGCAGCCTCTCCCCCAGGTGTCAAAGGGAGGTACCATGGGGACAAAGGTCCCAGGGACAAGGGTAAGCCAGGGGTGCTTGGTTCATCTGTCCTCCCAGGAATCCCACCGTCCTGTCTACAATCTGGGGTCCTTCCCAGTGTGGGGGAGTAAGCCAATGGGACAGCAGGGACCCTGGTGCTGGCACCTGAAATCCGAAGCAGATGGTGGGCATGGCATTGAACACAGCCATCCAGGAAGCTGGTCTGTGGGCAAACACAACATGAACCTGCCTGTGAGTCCCCCAGAGCCACCAACTGTCCCCACCGCCCTCACTCTTCATTCATCCACCAACCTCCAACAACCAGAATTCTACACATCGAACACACATGGGCAGAGGACACTCAGGACACAGGCTCCGAAAGGCCATCCCAGGACCAGAGTCCAGAATTCCTGTCTCCTGAGACTTTGCTTTTCTGAGTTGTTTCTTTAAAGATAAAGAAATAAAAGGGAGACTGGAAAGCTGGGCATGGTGGTGTGTTATCTGTGATTCCAGCACTTGGAATGGTGGAGGCAGGAGGATCTGGAGTTCAAGGCCAGGCTACATAGTGAGTTTAAGCCCAGCTTAGGCATAATTGGGAAACTATGCCATTTTCCTCCTGGCAGTCTCCCTAAGTTGGGAGCTTGTGGAGCACCATGGTACCTGCTAGATGTTGGTGGCAGAGTCTCCTCCTTCCCCAGACTATTATTCGTTCCTCCAGGTTAAAAAAAAAAAAAAAAAAAAAAAGCACAGGGTCTTTCACCTGTGAGTTGGTGTCAACGAGCTAATGAACCTCAGGAAGGGCACCTGTGTGATCCTTAGATGCCCGGCCTGGGTAGCAGCTTCTACCCATGTATTTCCCAGGGACCCTCACCTACCTGGTCAAGATGTCCGCTGGGCGCATCTCTTTATCTGGCCAGATGTATTTGATGATTATAATGGCGGTGACGTACCAGATGCCCACAACGCTCAGGAAGCTGCCAAGAAGGAGAGACTGACTTCCTATTCTCCAGTCCTGGTCCCCTTGTTCAACTAACTCCCCATTTCCAGAAGTGCCCACCCTTGCTCTAGGGACTAAATCACAACAAATAATGATTCAGAAATAAGCTTCAAAGACATCTACCACGGGAAGGGGGGAGCTTGTCAGCATTTCAGCTATGGAGTCATGCTCTGGCTCAGAGACCACCTCCAGGAAGTGGGCTCCAAAGCACAGCCTGAGCAGCCCAGCTGTGGCAAGGGCTCACGGCTGGCCTTGTTGCCTGGTCCCTGAGAACTGAGAGATTCCTGGGCAGAGGGGAGAGTGCAGATACTGGGGTGCTAACATTTAAAGAAACCCCATTTAAAGATGGCCAAATGTGAAACAGCCCCAACCCCCATAGTTTTTCAGATATGGGGCTAGGGGGCCAGTCTGTTCCCTTTCTCTGAGCTCCATCGAAAACCCCACCAAGCTCACAACATCAAGATCCCAGCTCCCAGCTTCCAGAGAAGCCAATGCCCAGATCAGCATCTGCCCGTACCCCGGCAGCCACCACCAATCCATTCTTTGACAATGACGTTTCGATCACAACCTTTCAGTGGTGCAAAGAGCCACTATCTTCCTTGATATAAATGGAAGTCCTGGGCCTATGATCCAGTCAGCTCTGGTCTGCCCTGGCTTCCCTATTCTTGTTCCCCAGGAAGATGCCATGGAGGAGAGGGGCTCCCCACCAGATATGGCTCTCCAGTTGCCTTTGATCACAGTCTTTTTCTGGCCCAGGCTGGGTTGGGACCTCCGAACCTGGCATATTTCTGGAAGCCGATCTCCCTGGGGATGGACAGGGGCAGGATGAAGAGGAAGGCAGTAAGGCTGATGGTGAACTTGCGGTCTGTGTACCAGGGGCTTCCGCTGGCCCCTTCGGCCTCCTTTGCCATCACAGCTATTACTGCACAGAGAAGAAGGAGGGAATGTCATGCCAGGCCACTCAGGATGTGGCTTTCCTGCTTCACCAGGCCCTGAGACATCCGTCTAAGAAGTAGGATTTGCAGAGAGAGCAAGGCTTACTGTGTAGCACTAGGACCCTCAGGCCAAGGGGAAAGAAATGAGGAGGGCACTGGGGGGAACCTCACTTTTGTCCTGCTGGTCCCCAATGATGATGAGAAAGGCGATGCAGGTTCCAAAGGTGTAGACTGCAATGGTAACCTCACACAGCACGCCTGTCAGCTTGCCACACACGGCCCAAACCACCTCCTGGTAGGTTCTCTCGTTGCTGGCCTGGGAGCAGTAGGCCAGAATGACAAGCCCACTAATGATGAAAACCAGCATGCCCTGCAGGCAGAACAGATGGAAGGGTGTGGGAAAGGAGGCATACTGAGCTCACTGTTGGTATTTCTTATAGCAATGTCCAAAGCAGGTCTGCAAATGGGTCTTTTCTTGCAGAACAATTTTAATAGATTATTAGAGGTTGCCAAGCTGAAATGTTCTTTAAAAATGAATTTCAGGTGCTAGAGAGATAGCTCAGTGGTTAAGAGCACTAGCTGCTCTTTCAGAGGACCTGGGGTCAATTCCCAGCATCCACATGGCAGCTCAAAAACACCTGTAACTCCAGTTCTCTAGGGATCTGACACACTTTTGGCCTCCACTGGCACTGGGTGCATGTGGTGCACAATTGTGCATGCAGGCAAAACAGTTATACTCATTGTTAAAAACAACAGCAAGATGAGTTTCACCAACATTTCAAACACGCAAACAAACTGAGAATAGGGTGAACTCCAAACAGCTTCAAAAACAATTTATGATTTTTTTTTTTCTGTTTTTGCTTTCGTTTCTTTCCTTTTTATCTTTTTCTCTTTTGTCTATTGAGATAAAAATCTCACTTGATAGCCCAGGCTGGATTATAATTTACTATGTGGTACAAGCTGGCCTTGAACTTATGAAGGTCCTCCTGCCTCAACCTCTTGTGTGCTGGGAGTACAGGCATGCGTCAACACTAGAGTAGCTCTTGTGGCAGATTCCCCCCCATTTTATTACTTTTCCATTGTATTTTGAAGGCAGTACAATGTTTTTTTTTAAATGTTGTTAGTAAACATTTCAATATTCTAAAACATAAGGGTCTTTTTAAATGATTTAAACACAACCACAAAAATAATAGAGTACTTCAACATGCAGGGTTTGGGGTGTAGCTCTGTCGGTAGAGTGCTTGTCTAACATGCATCAAGTCCTGGGCTTGACCCCCAGGTATTGCATAAAGCCAAAGTGGTGGCACTTATCTGCAATCCGAGCACTCAGGATGCGGGAGCAGGAAGATCTGAAGCTAAAGGTCATCCTTGGCTACACAGAAAATTCAAGGTCAGCCTGGGCTACATAAGCCTGTCTCAAAAGCCAGAACCCTTAGACATGGAAATAATGTTCAAGGCTCTCTGCTTGTTGGGAAGATTTTCAGTCTTAACTGGTCTTAGCACGAAGAGTTCTGACACCTGAGTTAGACTTCATTCTCACTCCGTCTTCTACTCTCTTCTTTTCTCTTTTTATACTCCTCTGCTGGTTTTGAATGGAAGCTTTAAGAGAAAACTTCTGGAATTGATTGGTAATGTCTATCACTTATAAAGGAGGGAAGAATGACTGCATACGGGGGCTGAAGAGATGGCTCAGGGGTTAAGAGCACTGCCTGCTCTTCCAGAGGTCCTGAGTTCAATTCCCAGGGTGGCTCATAACCATCTGTAATGAGATCTGGTTCCCACTTCTGGCCTGCAGGTGCACATGCAGACAGAATACCATATAAATAATAAATAAATTACATCTTTAAAAAGAAAATGACAGTGTATGTCCTCTGACACTCATTTCTGATTCAAAACCTTCCCTGCAAACCACAGAGCCCATGGGCACTGCCTACCTCCGTTGCCAGTGCACTCACCATCTGCAGGGCGATGCCAGCTGCCACACCCCCAGCAGTGCTGAAGGCTGCTGGGAAGTTGAGCAGCCCTGCACCCAGGCAGGCATTGACGACGATGAAGACGGCTCCAAGCGTCGAGGTGGTGCCGCTGTCTGGACCTCCGGCACATGCCTCCCCCTCACTCTTGGGCACCACGTCCACACAGGGACTCTGTAGCAAACGGGCCCGCTCGCCAGCATCCGTGCTGGAGCCCCACTCGCTGTAGTCGCTGTTGATGCTGGCTTGGGCCATGGCCTAGGACTACTTTTCTTGCGAAAGCTGTGGGTGGGTTCAGGACCACATTCCTGGCGTGGTGGAGAGAACACCTGCCCCTTCAGGGTTACTAGTCTGGGGGTCCTCCTGTCAACCTAGGTAAGACAAAGGCAGGTATTATGTTTAGCCTGAAACAGTGAATGTGGGTCACAAAAAGGTGAAGGGACTTCCCCAAGATCACATGGCTAGGGTCCATATAAGCACCAATCACTGTGCAGCAGAGCTCCTTGTGGCTAAGATGCAAAGCTGCTCTGTTTAAAACACTGCACTGAGGTCACAGTGTGGGTGGCAGACACAAACATGTCAGCTGCACATCTGACTTGTTTCACTGTATAGGCCAGAAAGGTAAATAAGAGCCAAACATAAAAGAGCGGGACCCTGGGGAAATGGCTCAGTGATAGAGCACTTGTTTGCCAATGCGCAGGACTGCTAAAGAGAATAAAGAGAGGAATACTACAACGTCAGCACCCGGAGAGGCCACAGGGCACAGGCCTGTCAGTCTGGTCTTGTGGCAGCCTGTGATCACAAGGTAAAGAGAAATCAAAGCACTGAGGCAGGATGGTTCTTGAGCAAGCTGGAACACTTCCAGGTGATCTGTCCCCATGGGAGCCGCTACCAAGAACCACGATGTTTCCATGCATTTCAGCCCAGCATTACTCCCAGCAACCCAGACACAAAACCCCGTGGCTTTCAAGGCCTTGCGAACTTCAGGTTAACTCTCTTTTCCCACATGGCAATTCCTGCCACAACAGTATTTTTTTTTTATGTGTGTGTAGAATTTTTTTCTTTTTTTTATAATTATTTTATTTTTAATTACACTTTATTCACTTTGTATCCCCCCTCTAGTTCCTTCCCTCCCAATCCCTCCCTTCCTTCCCCTTCTCCACACACTCCCTTCCCCAAGTCCACTGATAGGGGACGGTTTCTTTTTCTTCCTTCTGATCCTAGTCTGTTAGGTCTCATCAGGAGTGGCTGCATTGTTTTCCTCTGTGGCCTGGTAAGGCAGCTCCCCTCTCAGGAGGAGGTGATCAAAGAGCAGGCCAATCAATTCATGTCAGAGACAGTCCCTGTTCCCATTACTATGGAACCCACTTGGACACTGATCTGGCATGGGCTACATCTGTGCAGGGGTTCTAGGTTATCTCCATACATGGTACTTGGTTGGAGTATCAGTCTCAGGAAAGACCCCTGTGTTCAAATTTTTTGGTTCTGTTGCTCTCCTTGTGGAGCTCCTGTCCTCTCCAGGTTTTACTATTTCCCACTTCTTTCATAAGATTCCCTGCATTCTGCCCAAAGTTTGGCCATAAGTCTCAACATCTGCTTTGATAGTCTGCAGGGCAGAGCCTTTCAGCGGCCCTCTGTGGGAGGCCCCTAACTTGTTTCCTGTTTTCTTCTTCTGATGTCCACCCTCTTTGCCTTTCTGAATGGGGATTGAGCATTTTAGCCAGAGACCTCCCTCTAGATTAGTTTTTTAGATGTACATATTGTAGTAGGTTTATCCTATATTATATGTCTATATGAGTGAGTATATACCGTGTGTATCTTTCTGCTTCTGGGATTTTTTTTTTAAACTAAGACAAGTTCTCTTTATGTAGTCCTGGCTGTCCTTGAACTAACAGAGGCTCCTTGCCTTTCCCTGAGTGCTGAGATTAAAGGAGTGTGCCACCACACCCAGCAGGAAAATAATTTTTAAAATTACATTTCTTTTTTTTTTTATAATTTTTTAAAAGATTTGTTTATTTATTAGGTATAATCATTATAGATGGTTGTGAGCCACCATGTGGTTGCTGGGAATTGAACTCAGGACCTCTGGAAGAGCAGCCAGTGCTCTTAACCTCTGAGCCATCTCTCTAGCCCCTTAAATTACATTTCATTTCTTTCTTTTATGTATGCGTGTGCTCCTGTGTGGAAGTCAAAAGACAACTTTTGGGAATCAGTCATCTCCTTTCACACTGTGGAGTTAGGGCACTGACTCAGGTTATGCAGCTTAGCAGCTGATACTTTTATTGAACTATCTCACTGGCCCAGGAAAAAAAAAATTTCCCCCCAAGAAAGGGTTTCTCTATGTAGCCTTGGCTGTCCTGGACTCACTTTGTAAAACCAGGGTAGCCTTGAATTCACAGAGATCTACCTGTCTCTGCCTCGTTGAGTCCTGGGATTAAAGGCATGCTTTAGCATGGATGGGAAAATAATTCTCTCTCTCTTTTAGATTTTATTTATTTATAATTTATACAATATTCTGCCTGCATGTGTGCCTGCACGCTAGAAGAGGGCGCCAGATCTCATTATAGATGGTTGTGACCTCTGCAAGACTAGTCAGTGCTCTTAGCCTCTCAGCCATTTCTCTAGTCCTGAAAAATTATTCTTAATTTTTCAGTGCCCTGCCCCTTTGCTGGCCACTTGCAAGTCCCATCATTTTCCCATTTCCTCAGCCACTCACTGAGCCCTTGGAGCCATCACAGGGCCTGGCACACTCAGACCCACCCATTTCCTTCCATCATCGGTGTGCTAGGCCCAGTGTGGGCTCTAGGCTTGCTTCCCCAAGCTAAGGACAAGGCTCTGAGGACAAACACGTGCTGTTTACTGTTACCACGAGCCACAGCTGGCTAGACAGCACTGCCACTATCACCACAGATACAGAAGCCCAGGCCTTGTGCATCCTCGGTCATGCAGCAGTCACTAGTGGCTGGGATTCAGAACCAGGCTGGCTGAGATGGCTTAGCAGGTAAAGGTGCCGTCGCCAAGCCTGATGACCTGAGTTTGACTCCTGGGACATGGTAGAAGGAGAGAAGCAACTCCCATAGGTTTCCTCTGACCTACCTACACACACACACACACACACACACACACACACACACAGGAATGAATGAATGAACAAAGACCAAATAACATTCCTAGAACATTCTTATGTGGCAAACATTCTCATGTTTGCCTCTGCCTCCTTTCTGGGCCTGCTGAACTCAGAGAGCAGGCTTGTTACCCAACTGCTCTCACTTTCAGGGTACACACAACCCAATTGCAGGCTTTTGTTTAGCCTTGGTCTTTCATTGAGAACCAGGAGGTTCACTCTCCTCCAAGTCTTGAAGTGTTTTCAGGAGCCCAGCTCTGAAAACCAACCCTCAGTGTTCTTGCACCTCAGTGCAGAGTCTGAACCTCCAAGAGGAATACATATATATATATATATATTTTATATATAAAAAATATATATATAAAAATATATATTTTTATATTTAAAAAATATATATATTTTTTTAGACAGGGTTTCTCTGTGTAGTCTTGGCTGTCCTGGAACTCACTACTTGAGACCAGGCTGGCCTCAAACTCATAGATCCACCTGCCTCTGCCTCTTCTGGGATTAAAGACGTGTGCCACCACCACCTGGCAGAATAATGTTTCCTAAAGAGCCAAATCTAAGCTCACACCAAAAGCAGCCCTAAGGAGAGTTCTGTGGCTCATGCCTGTAATCTCATTCTTGGGAGGCTGGGGCAGGAGAATTGTTGTGAGTTTAAGGTTAGTCTGGACTACATAGCTAGTAGTGGGCTATATACATACATATATATAATATAACCCTGTCTCAAAAAACAAAACTAAATAAAACACACCTGAGGCGAGACGTGGTGGTGTACACCTTTAATCCCAGCACTCGGGGAGGCAGAGGCAGGCGAAGCTCTGTGAATTCAAGGCCAGCCTGGTCTACAAATTGAGTCCAGGACAGAAAAACCTTGTCTCAAACAGCCCCCTTCCCCCAAAAAACCCACCATATTTGAGATGGGAGCTGTGTTCTCATCTTAGACTCAGAGGGCAGAAAGGTAACGTCTCCACTTCCTTACTGCACGCTTTGAGTAAGTCACTCTGGCCCTCTAAGCTGGTGTAAGTTCTCGAAGAGTATGCTGATATTAACAAGCATCGCCAGGCTGGGGGTGGTACACCATGCTTCCCAGAACCAGGCTTGGGAGACAATCCCCAAGAACCCCGCTGTGGGGCTGGTAAGAAGGCTGAATGGATAACAGTGCTTGTGATTAATGCTTTGGTTTGAACCCTCGGACCCACATGGTGGAAAGAAAGAATGGACGCCTGCAGGTTCTTCTCTGACCTCCACACAGGAACCAGGGCATTGTTCATTCATTCATATTCTCATTCTTTGTCATTAAAAATCCCATTTCCTCCCTGAAAAGGCAAAGATTAAGCCGAAACCACTGTCCATCCCATCCCAAGTCATCCCTCTTGATAAGGTCGGCCCACAGTGCGTGTGCGTGTGTGCGTGTGTGTGTGCGCATGTGTGTGTGTGTCTAGAATAGGCTCCTGGGGGTGCTTCCCAGGTGAACCTTCTGATGATGGGCAAAGTTGGGGACATTACTCCAAAAAGGAAAACTGCAGGTGCTCTGGGACATCTGCCATCAAGGAACTAAGGGACACACACAGTCCCAGTGCACAAACCTCTGCTGAGGCCACAGCCAGGACCACCAGTCTAGCCACAGGCTTTTTCCTCTTGTGCAATACCCCGCCCAGCAACTCAGCAAAATCTCAACAGTGTTGAGTAGGGAAAGCAGTCTGGGGAGTCCCCAGGTCCAGGCATAGCTCCAGAGAGGTCTAAGGCCATCCATCCTACTGCTCACACCATCAAGGTCACATGACCCTCAGTCTCTCTAGGAAGCAGGTTTCCCTTTGACACCCTTGCCCTGGTCCTGTGCCATATGCCAGGGCCCTCCTGCAACCACACAAAAGCTCAGGTTGATCTCACACCCTGGACCACCCTCACTAGTCTAGAAGCTCCAACCCCTAACCCAATTACTCAGCCCCACTCCTTGAAGCTTACCTGCTTTCCTTGAAAAGGGCTGTTTCCTCTGCTTAAAGGTATGGGATCCGAATCTCGTCACATCCCTTTTGGGGCTCAAGTTCTTCACCTAAAATCTGCAGTCAGTAGAGAGAAGAGTTTAGCCTTTTCCGACTGTCTACGGGGGTTCGGGTGGGAGGGTACCCTGAGTATTCTGAATAACCCATAGGACGGAGCGGAGTGACAGATCTGAGAAAGTTAATGCCCATGGAGGAAAGAGATTGCATTAAGGTCACAGGGAGCAGTTGGCGGGGCCAGATCTATAAGCAAGTTGCACATATGTTTAGATCGGAGATGGAAGAAATCTCACACGCTTCCCAGGCCAGCCTGGGGCCAGCACTGAAACACCAGGTTTGGGTTGCTTTGGGAGGTAGGGCAGGGAGCACCCGGCCAGGGCGGGCTGAGGGTGAGCACCAAGCCTGGCGTAAGATCGTTGGGTTGTGTGTCTATCTCGGGTGCTTACTCGATCCCGGCCTAGGACTGAGTGGAAAGCCGCAAGGCTAGGCGTGGCTGGGCCGGTGCTACAGAGAGCAACAGGGAAGATGGCTCTGAAACCTTGCAGGGACCTGGTCTCAGCAGTGATAGGGAATTCCAATGACCCAGGAACCCTAAAACCCCACCTAGCACCGCCCGTACCTCATTACACAAACCTCCTAAGCGTCTTCCCGGAGCCGACTCCAGAAACACGTGAGCTTGAGTCACATGACCCTCCTGCTGGCACAAGCCGCAGGACACTCTGGGAATTGTAGTTTAAAACTAGCCGCTGTCAAACTTGGACCACATAAGCGTCTCAACCCTACAACATAGTTCTGAGCCAGGTTGGCTCTCTGCCAACCCGTTTATCCAGTTATTTTTAGGCTTGGTCCCTTGGCCAAACCAAACACTGTTCCTTCCTCCTGGAAAGAGCTTTAAGAGGTTTGGCATCTCTGTCCTCAGGGGCAGTGGGCCAAAGCTATTTGGCCTCATTATCTTTGTTACTGCATTCATTCCCACAGCAAGTGACCCCAGAGTTTCTTTGACTGAAGAGTGTGCGGGACCATTGAACAAGAGAGAGGGCCAGTTGGGCATTCATTAATCCCTGGCTACAACCTCAGGGCTAGATTTCAGAAGTGTTTGTGGCATTGCAGGCCCTCAATTTATTGAAAGAAATTGCCCGGAGTCTTGGCTTCTGTACTTGGGCTGTATGCCATTTATAAGTGAAGTCAGTTTCTGCCTCTTTATTTGTGGTACTTGAGCTTGAACCTTGGCTCTAGGCAAGAACTATCTACCTTTCAGCCCTATCTGCAATCTAGTTTAATTGAATTATTTTCTTTTACATTTATTTATGTGTGTGAGTGTTTGTGCTTTCCACAGTACACATGTGGAGTTCATAGAACCACTTTATGACTTGATTCTCTCTTTTCATGCTGCAGGTTCTGGGGGTTGAACTCACGTCGTCAGGGTGGTGACAAGGGCCTTGACACCCTTAGCCTCTCAATGGCCCTAAGTCTCATTTAAAAACTACAGAAGATGCTAAGTTGGCTGTGGGACACATGCTGTAAACCCAGCATTCAAAAGGCTGAGGCAAGAGAGATGTGAGTTTGAAGCTGGCCTGACTTACACAACAAAATCCCATCTCAGGAAACAATGCAAAGCAACCCCACCAGGAAAAAAGAAAGATGAAAAGAGAAGCAATATTACTGATATCACCAGAGCCAAGTGCAGCGATAAGAAACAGTATAAAGAGATCCTGTGTGCCAGTTTGCCTCAACAAAAATATTTCACAGAAGTTTAGAATAGTACCACACAGCTAAAATATCTTCATTATTATATTTAAATTTATTTATTTTAAGGTATATGGGTGTGTTGTGTGTGTGTGTGTGTATCTGTGCTGTGCATGCAAGGCTGATGTAACTGTCCCCTTACCCCTGGAGACCAGAAGAGGGCATCAGATCTCTAGAAACTGAGTTAACAAAGCATTAGCTCTCCTGTTTGGTGCTGGGAATTGAACTCAGGACTTCCAGAAGAGCAGACTGTGCTCTTAACCGCTGTGTCATCTCTCCAGTCCTAGAAGTGGATTCACCCACTTCAAACCAAGCAAGACTCTCAGGCGTGCCCACCATTTCTGGATTGTAGTTCATTCTACATATAGTCAACATGACAGCCTAGAATAGCCATCACACCTGAGTCCCATTTCCTTGCCCTACTCCTATTATTCATAGACTTGGTCTTTGAATAGTGTCCCTGATTTGCTGATGTTTTGTGCCAGTTTTTCTGGCTTTTGTTGTTTTGTTTTTGATTTAACACTGTCCTTGTCTGAAGTATCCATTTCTTCTATCACGTCTTCAACACCTGCGATTCTTTCTTCCCTCTTGGATTCTGTTGGAGGAGACAGTATGATGGGAGAGCAAGCCCTGAGAAGGCCTGTGGGGGCTGCTGCTCTCCCTCTGCTGTCCCCTGCTTCTGCTGATTCCAACTGCCGCATTTATTATGCTAGTGTGCTGGATTTCTGGATTGCTGGGTATTCTGAAGAAAATTATTGGACTTGCCCCTAGGAACCCAATGCCCTTAAACAACAGGAAGTATTCTGTTATTCTATTGGTGAGGCTTACCTCTGAGGTTCCTGTGCTGAGTTCCTAAACTTTTCATTTTCTGATTTTCCTCAGCTTAAGGTTTGGTCTTGAACTGTTTTATTCATTTCCTTCCACTATTTGTTTTTGTTTTCATAGATTTCTTTAAGGGGATTCTTTATTTACTCTTTAAGGACCTCTTATCACACGTAGTGAGAATTTTTGTGTCTTTGAGAGCCCAGTTATGTTTATGTGAATTATGTGAATATGTTTTTGTTTAATTCCAATTGTGGGATATGGGGCCGCTTCAGATTGCCTACGGCCATTAACTATGACTGTCTCCTGCTCTAGGAGGGGCAGGATTTTTGGCAGCTTCAGGTAGTTTAATTCTGGAGGCTCTGGGGAGGGTATAAATGGGAGAGACCTGAGAGCCTTTGGCGGCTGCAGCTCCTCCTGCGCTAGCTCTTGTTCCTGTTGCTTCCTGCTGCTGTACTTGCTACTGCTGATTTGCTGGATTTCTGAATATTCTGATGATGAAGACCGGACTTACCCCTAGGAACCCCACAACCCTAATCAGCATGAAGTAGTCTAAAGAGGTCTATGCCCCCCTTTCCCTCTAACCTTTCCTACCTAGTGTTGGGGGGGTTGGAAGGATGGTAGAACCCAAGAAAGTCCAAAAAGGCAAGCCTACAGCCATATTCATAAAGGCTGTTTTTAAATCTTTTTCTTGTTTATGTTGCAATATTCAGGGCCTGCTGTCTAGTAGGATTACTGGCCTCTAGTGGAGTCATATTGTTGTGGCTGTCATTGTGTTTTCATGCTGGTATCTAGGCATCTCTGTTTATGAAGACTGTAACTCTAGGTGCAGATATCTGGCCTTGTCTTTGTTGGTTGGGTTTTTTGTTTCTTGGTCTCTGTTGCCCAGTCTTGTTCTTAGGAGAGTACAGTGAATGTGGGCTGCCTGGCGGGAGATTCTTCTGGGATCCTGACAGGATGGCCACTGGGGTTCCAGGTAGAATGTGTTTCTAGATATTGGGTGCACACTCTTAGCGAGTAGGATGGTTTAGGAGTCAGGCCACAAGAGGGCCCCACAGGAAGGAGCAAAGCATGATGGTCGTTAGGATCTGCTTAGTCCTCTGGGGATGGGGGCAGAGTGTGTGGAGAGGGTGAAGCAGGCGGTCTGCTACAGAGCTGGGGATGAGACAGGATAGATGTGACAGAGCAAGACAGCGCAAAGGCTCCTCCAACTTGTATTCCTGCTGAAGCCATTTTAGGTTTAACTAGAATCTGATCACCTCGATGGAGAATCCCATGGAAAATTACCCAACTCTATCCTACAAACCTGAGGTCAAGATGTCATAGCCAACGTTTGGTTTATTTGCTTCTGTTAAGTTGCCTGCTTGTACAAACCTCCCCTCCGGCTAACTGCTTGGCTTCACAAACCTTTCCCTGCAGTTGCTAAATGAGATACCAGGATGTGGTTTTTGCCTTTAAAAGCCCCTTGCTCTAAATGCTCAAAACTACTTTTGTGATCCCGAACACCTGAGTACAGTCCCAGCCAATTGGAATAAAGACTTTCAATCGGCTAGAAAGTATATGTGAGTGAGCATCTCTGGTAGGCTCCCCATAACACTGGACTTAGAAGAATGGGAGAGTGTTCTCAGGGAAGGCCTCTTGGAGTTAGGGGCTGGGACAGAGCAATGAGTAAAGTTTGGAGAGGGGAAGATCTGTGTGGTCTACCAGAGATGGGGATTGTGGAAGGAAGGGGGCCGTGGCAGGTGCTCTGCTAGAGCTGAGGAGAAGACTGGGAGATTGGATTTGGAGGGGAGGAGGGAGAGGCGAAGATCTAGGGTTAGCCCAGTTGTTTCCCTGGTCAGAGCGGCCCATGGGCTCTCAGTGAGTGCCTGCTGGGGTCGGGGGTTGGGACAAGGCAATGAGTGGCCGGAGTGTGGTGGGTACATGTGCCTCGGGGCAGGAAGGTGGAGGCCAGAGAACATTGGGAGTCTTCCTCCATTGTTTTCTGCTGTATTTGTATTCTCTCAAGACTGGGCCTGCCACTGAACCCGAAGCTGGTCATTTTGCATAGACTGGCTGGCCAAAGAGCTCCAAGGATCTATTTGTCCCTACTCTTTCATGGGTTTCGAGGATTCCAACTCAGGTCCACATGCTTGCACAGGAAGTGCTCTTGCCTACTTGAACCATCACCCCAGACCCTGTTCTATTTCTAAAGGGTTTTCACGTTTAAAATGTTATTGAGTTGGGCATGGTGGCATACGTCTTTAACCCCAGCACTGGGGAAACAGGTGGCTCTTTGTGAATTTGAGGCCAGGCTGGTCTGCACAGAGTCTCGAGACAGCCAGAGCTCATTAAAAGAAAGAAAGTGCAGGGCGGTGGTGGTGCACGCCTTTAATCCCACCACTCGGGAGGCAGAGGCAGGTGGATCTCCATTCAGGTTGCTGTAACTGTGAGCTGGGTGGGTTAAATGGAAGTCTTGCTACGTTTACGTATTTGTTCTAGAAAGCTTTCTCTCATGTCTGCCGAGAGACAGTTCACAGGTTAAGAGACCTTGCGGCTCTAGGCACTGGGAAATCTGGAATTGGGTGCTGGGGCGGGGGGGGGGGGGAAGCTTCCGGTGCGGGCCCTCCTGCTCTGTATACCATGTAGAGAGGGCAGAAGCAAGCTGACTCCCCTCTCTTAATGAGGGCCCTGACACCATAGCAGGTTATCCACTTCCTGAAGGCCCCATCTCCAAACGCATGGCAAGGAGCATTAAGGTTTTCAGAAAGTTCTTGCCCATTCCTGTATCACAGATGTTTCCCTATGCTTTTCTCTGCCTGCCACTTTTATTAATCTTCCGCACTGAGGATGGGGGCTGGTAACCCATGACTGTCCTAGATCCAGTTCACGTCACCTTTTTATTTAACTATGAGCTCAATTCCTTTGGACAGCTGGAGTCATCTCTACCCCTCTTCTATCCCTTCCACAGGATCCCTTTGGAGACTCCTGTGTGGGGTCTGAGGAATTTCACCCACATGGTCAATACCTTTGGACCAGACCAGGTGAAAGGCAGGATGAAGAGCAAGATGCATTTCTAGTCAGGACTGGAAAGCTGATGCATCATTTGGCTTACATGACTCCAGACTTCCTCAGCACCTATCCACTCCTACCCCTTCCTCCCAGTAAGTAGCAAAGCAGACAGTGGCTGGGTCTGTAGCAGTTTTATTGTGACAGAGAAACCAGGCAGCAGTAAGTCTACAGATTAGAGCAGATGGTGGTTATCTTTCCAAAGGGCAGAGTCTGGGCCGGCTGGCAGCACACAAACCCCAGAATATCTCCTGATGCTACCCGCGCTGCCTGACTCATGGGAGGAGACAGGCTGTGCGGCCAGGATGAATGAAGAGGTCTTGCTGGGCAGAGGCCCCATCCCACCACTGAAGACTGAAGAGGAAGACACTGAAATATAGCACAGGCTCCTCCTCTCCGTGGTTTTTGCTGAGAAAGGAGGGTATGGCATGAGAAGATAACTATGTTCTCCATTCTTAAATAACTCCCGATAAGATAAGGTTGATGGTCAATCAAGCAGTAGAACGGGATGAAACTCTAGGCTACAGAACAGCAATGATAGGAAGAGACAGGTTGACAAGACACAACATCTTTTACTGTCCTCGCTCAAGTGGCAACAGACTGGTTTCTGTAGAACATGCTTTCTGCAATATGATCTGCTGACAGAGCTGCTCCACACTGGAAGGACAAACATGAGGTCAACTGTTCATGACAGAACTAGGTTTTTCTCTCACAGCCTCTAACATGAGCAGCCTAGCTGAGTCCACAGGGGAGCCCCTAATGCCATCTGATGCTTCAGGTAAAGCTTCTGATCTATTTCAGTGCCATGGCTGACAGGTTTTTGGTGTTGTGATTTTCTCGTTTGTGTAAACTCTCTCAGAAAAGCTGGAGACAAAAGGATGAGGGATGTTTGGTTTAGAGCCAACGCAGTTCCGGATACCAGCTGCAGATGCCTCTGCCCTACCTCTTTTCGGAGGAACACGTTCAGTCGCCAAGGGTTATGTGCTACGGTCGAAAACATGATCTACTCACCACCACCCACCCTCCCTCCCCCTGCACCTGACCCTCACAAGAGCAAAGGCTGAAGGAAAGGCGGTCTCTGTTCCCCTGCACCTTGGTGATTACTTGGTGACCTGGTGAATGGCATGGGCAAGGTAGCCCACATTGCCCGAGGTGACCCCTGCCACGGAGATTCGGCCATCCTTTGTCATGTAGACTGAGAACTCCTTGGTCAACCGCTCCACCTGCGAAGAGAACAGAGCTTGACAACTACTTCCAGCAGGGATATTTTCCAGCCTTGATAGGGCACCCAATAGCCAACTTGTTAATAAAAACAAAACAAAACAAACAAAAAGTCTTTAAAGTTAGAATTTGGTGTGTGTGGTTAGAGTAAAAGAAGAATAAAGAGCTATTGGAATGTGGGGTGATGGGGCCTGTGGGATGGCGCAGCAGGGAAAGGCTGCTAATCCCGATGACTAGAGTGAGTCCCCAGAACTTATACGGTAGGAGGAGAAAACTTAAAGCTGTCCCCTGACCTATATACATGCCATGGTATGTGCATGCTTGCTGCGAAAAAAAAAAAAAAGTTATGGATTTCAAGTACGGGGCAGGTGTAAGCAGTGGCGCATGCCTTTAGTCCCCGTGCTCGGGAGACAAAGGTGGGACTCCGTGACGTGGAGGCCAGCTGGGCTACAGAGTGAGTTCCAGGACAGCCAGGGCTACACAGCGAGATCCTGTCTCAAAACCAGGGCCGGAGAGATGGCCCTGTGGTTAAGAGAACTGTCTGCTCTTCCAGAGAAGTCCTTAGTTCAATTCCCAGCAACCACATGGTGGCGCGTGAGCATCTATAATGAGATCTGGTGCCCTCTTCTGGCCTGCAGGGCATACATGCAGACAGAACACTCATGTACATAAAGTAAATCCTAAAACAAAACCAAAACACCATTACAACCAAAAATCCCCCAAAAATATTGACAGTAGGATTATGATGTTTAAGGCATAAACAGGTAAGAAAAAAACCCTCAAACTAAGCAGAGTCAGAATTCAGTTATGTAACATCTATTTCCCCTATCCCCTTTTACGAACTAGCAGACAACATAAACACAAGCAAACAAGCTATCACATTCCATGTGCAAAAACGCAGGCTTTGATCCCCAGCACTACAACAAACAAAAAAACCCCAACAAAACAAAAAAAAACCAACCCCCCAAAAGCCCCCCCTTGACCCTGAGCCACCACCACCTCCAAACTGAAAACAAACAAACAAACAAAAAAACAAAAAAACCCAGTCAACCAAACGATGAGGCGAGGATGCTGGAGCCTGAGTGACCAGCCTGGGCGACATTAATGAAACCTCATCTCACAACACCCAGGAATACCACATGCCACCTTTACCTAAAGGGACTCCAAATTAAGGAAAGTTACATTCATAAGTGACCTCGGAGAAGTTCTGGCTTGCAAAGGCTAGGACAGGCCTACTGTCTGCCAACTGGCTGTGGAGAATCAGGACCCACTCACCTGCTCAGGCTTGAGGCCAGTGAAACAAAACATGCCAATCTGGTCTGTGATGTGCTGCCAGTTGTGGGAGGACCCTTCTTTCTTCAGGTTGGACACCAACTGGGTCCTCATGCCAATGATGCGGTCGGCCATGCCTTTCACTTCTTGCAACCTATTAGGAAAGCAGAGGGCTGTCTTGCTCTGGCCAAGCACCAACATTAAGTCAGAGGCCACAGCATTCTTCATCACTGCAGTCCTTCTCCAGAATGCCTTAATCCTTGGTCCTTAACCGGGTCACACAGACCATGGCTGGTGGAGAACTTTTTATTTTAAGCGTTTTGTTTTTTATTAAGTACTTTGATTGGCATAAGTCAGTCAGTGCTTAGTTTCCTTGAGGGCCAGGAGACAGTGTTGGATTTCTTAAAACAAGAGCTATACATGGCTGGGTGGTGGTGGCACACGTAGCACATGCCTTTAATCCCAGCACACAGGTTGGCAGAGGCAGGTGATCTCTGTGAGTTCCAGGCCAGCCAGGGATACACAGAGAAACCCTGTCTTAATCTCCAGTCCCAGATAGGTTAACTATCATAGTTAACATACTTGAGTACCAAGGAAAGTTTAAGTATCATTTGAAAATGGAAACACTAAGATGTGGATTTAAGCAGTAAGACAAGACACGATTTTAAACTTGGTGGAATAAACATTCCTGCCTTCTTTCATAATGGAGACAATGGTCTATGCTGAATCTAGGTGCTGAAGAGGTTAGCATACAGGTCAAAGGCTAAACCTGTGAAACTCACGTTGGAACAAGATAGCACAGTGTAAAAAAAACAGAACAGTACTGGGCTGAAGGAGGCCACTGCCAGCCAAAATCCATTCCCTTAGCCCAGCAGGGAACTTCTTTTGTTGGCTTTTACTGGGCCACTATAATGACACTGACAGTTTATCTCTGGGGCAGTAGGTTCACTTATCAACAATCTCTCCATTACAACATGGTGCATGGCTATATCAAAGGCTATCACTGCCAACTGAAGACTAAATGTTTTTATTTGAGCCAATGAGCTGGGGATGGTGGTGCACACCTGTGATCCCAGCACTTGGGAGGCAAAGGCAGGTGATGCCTGTGTTTGAGAGAAGCCTAGGCTACAGTGTGAAACCTTATCTCAAAAGAAGGAAAATAAAGAAGCAGGAAGAAACAGCTGGCAGCATCTGGCTTCACCTCAGCAACGGTGAGGTGAGCCACCCAGCTTCATTCAGTCTGAAGACCTGGGTCCTCCAGGAACTAAGCATGTGACCTGTGTACCCTACACGTGCTGCTCACTTAGCAAAACCCTGCCCACTTCCTCTTGCCGGAGAAGCAGGTCCTGACGGCTCAGAGGATCCACCAGGTGCTACCCGACAGGTGTCTTCTCTAACTCCCTGCACACCATGTTCTTCGTGTTGTTTTATTTTTGAGTCTTGTTCGCATGTGGTCCGGGAGGGCCTTCCCTGGGACGGGAATTCTGAATGATTTTGAATCACTACATGGGTTCTGGGTTCTCTGAGCCTAGGTTCTCTGCCAGGGCAAGTCTTCCTAACTGCTCTGCCATCTCTCTAGTCCAAAAGAAATAAATGTTAAAAATTAACATTAGAAAAATAAGCATTGAGATTGAATATAGATAATAAAAATCCCTAAGTATGCAGAAACACTGACTCAAGGCTAGCCAGTAAGAAAAAGTACAGGGGCCGGGGATATGGCGCAGTGGCAGAGCACCTGCCTACATGCACCCTGGGCCTGACTTCCAGCTTCACAAAACAGAAACATCTTTTGGAGAAAGTTTCCTGTGCCAGGTACTTCAACTGAACTCCGTCGGTTTCAAAGGAAAGGCTAATTTACTAAATGCAGAGATAAGGAATAAAAGCGCCTGCCATTTCTGCATCGTGTAATGTATGGGGAAACACCAAACTTATTTGTGCCAACAAAATGCACACCCCCTCTTCTTCCCTCTACCTTTTCCACACATGGAACTGCCAGGTGCTAGATGCCACAGAACAGCAAAGGAATCATTACCATTGCTTTCGCAAGTCCGGAGACGTCAGGATAGTTGCTGCGATCCGGGCCCCATTGAGGGGTGGGTTGGAATACATGGGACGGATCAGGATCTTTAGCTGCGACTCTACCCTTTTGGCTTCATCGGCATCTTTGCAGATCACAGTGAAGGCTCCCACACGCTCACCTGCAAAGAGGGGAGGTATTGTCTTCAAGTGCGCTAAAGCAAAAAGTGATGACGCGTGCTGCATGGTATCTGTTTCTGTCAGAAGAACCACAAAGTAATTTATGTTCTGAGACAGAGTATTTTTATTCTGTAGCCCTGGATAGCTTGGAGACAGGAGAGTTTCCTGTCTCCACCTCCAGGGCGAGGGGATCACAGGCATGAGCCACCACACCTGACCTAATGGTTCCTTATAAGAAATAAACTGCTTTTATTAGTCAGAATGGTGAATTTTGAATGGAAGCACAAAAGAAAGCATTTAGTCTCTTAATTTTTTTTAAGACAGGATATACTGAACTTTTCTCTGCACACCAGGCTGGCTTTGAACTCACAGAAATCCTATCTCTGCCTCCTGAGAGCTGGGATAAAGGCACAAACTACCACTGCTTGGCCTCTTTTCCAATTTTGTTTTTATTATTTATTATCATTTGCATGCGAATTATTACTTTTCATTAATTGTAATTTTCTAAGTTGATGATAAAATTCATCCTAAAAATTTCCTTTTTTGCTTCTTTGATAATTTCAGGGTCTTACTATGTAGCCCCGGCTAGCCTGGAACTCACTACGTAAAACAGGTTGCTGTTGACCTCACAGATATTTGTCTAGCTCTACCTCCAGACTGCTGTGATTAAACGTGTATGCCACCATGCCTGGTGCTATCAGGTTTTTTTTTAAACTATTTTTTTCTGGGTTTGGTGTGCTGACCACTGTGTGCATGTGAAGGTCGGGGGACAATTTGTGGAAGTCAGGCTCCCCTTCAACCATGTGTACTGAACTCTAGTCACTGGACTTGGTGGCAAGCACCTTTACCTATAAGCCATATTGCTGGCCCAGGATATATTTATCTTCTTGGCACCTGTATCAGTTACTCTGCACACAGAAATAATCAGTTATTTGTTCTTTTTTTCACTATAGGAATTTAAGGACACTGAAGATATGGCTAACAAAATCTAGTGTTAGGAATATTGCATATAACCAACATGCAAATACACACACATGTGCATGTAAACACACACACACACACACACACACACACACACACACACACACACACA